CTCAGGAACAGGCCGAGGGTAGGAGGCGTAGGGTGTCCCGCTGCTGATGCGCCTCTGAGCCGGGGCTCTGGAGGCCGGGCGGGATCTGCTGCGCTGCTGCCCCACGAGGCTGGCTCACGCTGGGTTTCCCAGCCACGCACCACGGTTAACTTCAAGCCCATTTGCACATGCCTGGCTCAAGCTCCTGGCAGTGTTCCTAAACACTCGGAGGAAATAATTCCACAAAGTGGCATAAATTAATGTGACTAATTAACATGATGTTAATTATTTGTAAATTGTATGTTTGGATACACATTACTTGAGAGGCATATGTTATATTCAATGTTTACTGAAACAAGTGACTGCTAATAGCTCCTCCTGAGTGTTCCCTTCACGACAGTCAGCAGGCGAGGCTCCTCTAAAAATAAAAACCGTGTCCTGGGGGAGCTGCGAGAATGAATAGAATCAGCTGCCACCAGAGTGGCCCCCTTCCCTTAAAAAGTGGGACTCACTGAGGCTTCCCGCTTCACACCTGATAGGTTTGGAGATAGCTTCATTTTCAGAGGTTTCTGAGTTCCCAAAGCCTAAGGCAGACAGAGCCCTGGAGATGCTCTCAAGTGGCATTCGTGATCTGACTGGAGGACAGCAGTGTCTCAGCAGCTCCTTGCAGACCTGTCTGCCTTGCCCAGTGCCTCCCTCACCTCACCCAAAGGTGGCAGGGATCCACTAGGACCAGCAGGTTAAACAGCTACTGACCTGGCATCCCAGCTTCAAAATTGTATGACCCCTCCCCAGGGGATGCCTGGAAACGTGCCCAGTTGTGACCCCCACTTATGCTCTGCCTCTTCCAGTGCATACACAAATGTAGGGCCGTTATCGCCCATCTGCATTGTGCTGTAACTTTCACAGTTTGAGGTGCAACAGCAAAACTAGCACAGATTTCTTTATCCTTCTTCACAATCTCACATATAAAAGATTCATCCATTCATTAGACCTTAGCGGTAGACCTTAGCAGTCTTAGCATACAATGTTTTTTTTTCTTTTGTTATGGAGTGGAAAACTTTTACCTTCTCACATAAAATAAGCAGGTTGCAGTAATTGACTTATTCTGATACCAAAAACTCACATGCCAAGTCCAAAGATAGTGATTTGTTTCTGAGCAAGAAATCCTGGATAATTCTGAAATTGGGATGGATAAACAGGTAGATTTAAACCTGCCCCTGTCCTAAGCAACCCCTGCTACCATTCACAGAGCGAAGGAGAAGCTTGGCAGAATATCTGAATTGCCAATATTACTGGGGCCATTGTTAAGTAAGACATTCTTGAGAACAAGCACTGTGGTACCTGAAAGTGTACTGCATAACCAGGTTGGCTATGGAGTGACTAATGGGCAGGTAGCATATACAGAGTGGGTACACTGGACAAAGGAATCATTCCAGACCCAGGTGGGAGGAAGTGAGGTTGGGGTGAAATCTCATCATGCTACTCAGAAAGGTGTGCAATCTAAAACTTACGACTTGTTTATTTTCAGAATTTTCCATTTGATATATTTGGATTGCAGTTGACCATGGGTAACTGAAATAGAGGGAGACTATTATGCAATCTTTATGGAATACTTGGAATATAGTGACTTGCAAGGGCTTTTTTAGAGTGATAAGTGTCCTAGGGACACTTCTACCTTCTGTCTGAGTAAAACCCCACATTTGCTGATATTCTTTGGTTGGGATTGAGTGACCAAGTCCATTGGAGGAATAATGTGTGATCCCTTTCTCATGCCAGAGAAGAAAACAAGGTCATAGTTAGACCTACTCATGGGGAACCAAGGGAAGAATGCATCCCCAATTCCAAATATTATGATTTATGGTTAATATCACGAGCTTTCAAGTTTTGTTATAAGCCTGTACATTAAAACGATAGAAGAAAGAAAGAAAAAATCAGGATGAAAACAATCTTGTGGTCCAAGAGGATCAGCTGAGAACGTGTGGCTGCCGTGACAGTGTTCATCTCAGAATTACAGCAGCTTTTTCTTATTGACTGGGACTTGTGTCCTATTGGGCCATGTCAAAATATTTAGGGAAAGTCACTTGCATCTGTTCATGTGCACTGACTTAAATGAAATCAAGGGATAATGCTTAAAATACATGCTGGATTCACCTGGACTTTGAAATTGCAGTATAGCCTTCACGAAGTGGAGAACTCACCTAGCTTGCCCATCTCAGCCCCTCTACAAATGCCCAGCACACAGTGACTGCTACAGGCTTAGGTGAGCAAAGGAACCACTCCTGGTGGGGAATTAAAAAGAACCCTGGATAACATGGTCATTCTCAAAACTGTGCAAGAATACAGATAGAAAATCCTCCCAGAGACTCCAAAAAGAGTTTCCTGTTTAATTTTGTTGACAAAATAAATATATGACACTTTGGGGGATACAGAGAGAAAGTGGAAAGAAAGTTAACAAAAACCAAATTGCCCCCTGACCAGGAATGTGGAAAACACCTGGAATGAAGCAGTTATGATTCTAGAGGGTTCCCATGCTTGTGTTTGGGAAGCAGACTCTTGACGGGAGGAAGAAGTGTTACCTGTGGTCAGAGGAAAGAGCCGGATGTTACAAGAGGGCACCAGAGAACCATGAAGAGCTCAGGAGCAGCCCCATGTGGGATGACTCAGGTGGTCCCTGGTACCTCTGAGTGTGTTCACAGAGATGCACCACATTCCACCTCCAGGGAAGACACCACCACAGCTGCGCATCCAGGGCTCATGTTTAAGACGTAAGCACAAGTGTGTTTACGGTTACTGCTGTTATAGACAGAGTTCTAAGACGTAGCTGTTTTTAGGTTGCATCAATGACTACAGTAAGGACCTGGAATCATTGTTCCCGTTTTGAATATATATCTAAAAAAAATCCCACATTTAAATTTGTGTGTGTGTGTGTTGGGGTGACAATGCAATGTAGACCCCAACACATGGTCAACTCTCAGTAAGTGTTTACTAAATGTATGAACGGATCACAGGAAGAAAACCAACAAGATCTAGAAAAGTTAGACATAATACTAGCAAATGTGCTTTTAGTATGGACTATGTCTCTGAACTAGTTCTAAGTACTTGGCATGTACTAACTCAAATGAGCACTCCTCCAGCCCCATCAGATAAATACTATCATTATCTTCATTCTGTAGATAAGAACACAGACACAGAAAGGTGGAGACACTTTCTCTAGATCACACAGTGTGGAGGTGGAGGTACATAATTAGAAATTAGTCATGTTGACATCAGAGATTGTGCTTCTCACCATCCCTTACCTTAATTCAACAGCAGAAACACTGTCTCTCAAAGGAAGAGTTTATTCTTCTTTGTTAAAAACAATCTCAGAAAGATCCAGAGTCCCTTTGGGGGCAAAATTGTGGGCAGAGAAAGAAAAGGTAACTAGTCTTTATAACAAATATGCTCCCACTCAGTTCCATCCATCATAGCCAGAATTAAATATGCGTGATATACAGAGCAGGAGGTGGTTTGGTTTGGTTCCACATTTAAAAAACTGACCTAATTAACCCTGACCTCTGCAATACTTCAGCAGCACTACATTAATTATTAGTTTAATTTATCAGAGTTAGTCTCTAAACTCTGATAGTAATAATAAGAAGAAAAGTCAACACTGGCTCCGTGGTTTTGTATGACAGGCACTGGTCTGTGCTCTTTACATGACTCAGGCAGCAGGCACTATATTTGCAAATGAGCAAACAGGAGCAGAGGGTAAGAGCTCCTGAGTGGCCCACCTGCCGCTCAGGCCCCTGGTCTACAGTGGCTCTTGCCATTCCTGGTAGAACTATTAATGCACATGTTATGAAGAAAAAGTACAAGAATCCCTCCTGTTGATGAACCACCCTTCCCCAAGCAGAAGGTTTTGCTGCTTTGTGTAAGAGAATACAAAACACTTTGACTCATTCCCTCTCTTTTATGCCAACAGATCTGTGTGTTCAGAAACCCAAGGAAAGTGAATAGTTTACAACACATTAGAGCGATTAGACTTTGGTCATCTATTTTACCCGGGACCATTTGAGGCAAACTTGCACTCCATCCCGAGGAATGGAAACAGTCCTTTCCCAGGGTAAACCCAGCTACACATGCAGCTTTTCCTTCAGCTTAGCCTGAGGTCAAATATCCGGAGTTCTGGGTAACACCCCTCCCAGGGCTTTGCCAAGAGAAGATGCAAAGAAATGAAGCAGAGCTGAGACTTGGCATCTTGTCATCATCTTGTTAACATATGATTAATATTTTTCTTTTCAACATAAAGAAGTAGTTTTCTAAGGGGTCATAAATTTTTAAACCAGTGACTGTCTGATTTCTGACTTTAAAAAAAATTCAAATTATTGGCTTCAGCTAACATTTTTAAACTTTGCCCTGCTTTGTACTTGGAACATTCAAACTTCAGAGCCTGTTGTCCGTGAATTAATCATGTGTGGAGTATCTACGGTTGGAATTGAACTATATATATAAATGGAATCACTTCAGCTAGGACTGGGCTAAAAAAAAAAAGGTAGCATGATTTGGAGTTTTTAGCTAAAAAAAAAATGGAGAAATTTTAAGGAAGTAAAAAAGGAGTTGAGAGGAGTGTACTATTACGTGTAATAGTCTTTTGACATAAAAATGTCAGGCTTGTGTTGTGTATTTACTTTTATTCCTGGAGTCTGCCCAGTGGAAGGAATGGAATGGTGTCTAGGAGATTCCCAGTGCCCCCTGACCGGATGCAGACCCTGTGAGAGGAGGCCGGGGAGGATGGCCACATCCTCATGTGGATGCACATGTGCAGCCGCTGTGTGGTGGCAGGGGCAGGAAGGCGTACCAGGCTGGAGAACAGGGAAGGTGAGGGACAGGAGGGAGGGGCCTGCTTGTCCCAGGGCAGGGCTGGCTCTCTGAGATGCTCTCTGAGAGCACCCGCTTTTTCAGATTGCTTTGGAGAGCAAGAGACCGGCTCTTTCAATGATTTAATGACAAATGCACAGCGAATACCTGCTGCGTGCACGATGTCTGGGCCAAGTGCGGAGGATACAAGACCCAGGATGCCAGATACTCTTACTCCTTGCAAGGATTTCTACCAGGGAATTCAGAAAAGTGATGAGAATGCGGTGTTAGAGGTGTTAGAAATAAAACTGAAGCCTGGTGGGCAGGCGGGTGGGTTAGCGGAGGAGAAAGCCTAACTCCCCTGTAAGGTGCGCTGGCTGCGCATGCGCCAAGAACCAGCGCCAGGCACTCTCTTAAGAGGGTCTGAGAATCAGGAATGAGGCAGAGAAGACCCGAGTGCAGACCCTAATTTGAATAGGAATTTGCCTGCGTTGAGTATCAGAAGGTGAGAGTGGCCCCAGCTGAGTCTGAACAGAGTGACTGGTGTCGCAGAGTGGAAGCACAGGGGCCACTCTGGGGAAACTTGGTGGCCCAGAAGCCGGGCTACATCCTGAGCATCCCTGAGCAGGGCATAGGAGGCAGAATTTGATGCGGACACTGGAGGCAGGTGCCATGTGGAAGCTCTGCACTGGAGACCTTCACCAGGACTGCGGGTCCCCTATTCAGCGCTCTGCTCAGCTTTCTTTGGTGTTTCTTGCACAACAGCTTTACTGAGATAGAATTCACACACTGAATAGTTCACCTACAACAAGTGCACAATTCAATAATTTTCATTATATTCATGGAGCTAGGCAACTGCCACAAATCAGTCTGGAAGCATCTATAACACCCCAAAGAGAAACTCCACACTCACTAGCTGTGGTTCCTTTTGTTCTCTTGCCCAGCCCCTGGGGACCTCCTGCGTACTTCTATCCCTGCAGACTGGCCTCTTCTGGACTTTGATATAAATGGCATCTTACCAGGGACACGGTCTTTTGTAACTGGCTTCTTTCCAGGTTCATGCATGTTGTCATAAATAGCAGCACTCCTTTCCTTTGGATGACCAAAGAGTTTTGGTACGAATGAGACACATTCTGTCTATTCACCTCTCTGAAGATGGGCATGTGTGTATTTTTCCACTTTGGGCCTTTTATGAGTAATGCTGCTATGACCACTCATGTGCAAGCTGTGGTGTGGACATTTGCTTTCATCTCTCTTGTGTATACATTTTTGTACACACTTGGTAGTGATTGCTGATCATCAAGTACTTCTGTGTTTAACATTTTGAGAAACTGTCAGACTTTCAATATGGCTGTACCCTTTATCCCCCCCGCCTTTTTTTATTAATACCTGATGTATTCATTATTGTTTGAAAATGTGAACTTAGTGGACAGGAACCAGAGGAAGGAGTTAGAGCTCAATCCAGCCTTTGCTGTCTGATGGCCCCAGGCAGGACCTGTCATTGTGAGGGTTCTGCATAACAAACCCCTAACTGCAATGGCCTACGATGACCAATATCTGTTTCTTACTCTTAGGTCTGAAAGTCAACCTTCTAGGCTGGGTTCTGCTGGGGTTTTTAGGGGTTTGGCTCCAGGCTATAGGTCAGATTCATTCAGGGCCAGCGGCTCTCCAGGCCACGTTCTCTATGGTAGATTTACAGGAGGCCAGGTCCTGCCACTCATATTCCCTGGGTCAGAGCAAGTCAACCTGGTTAAGCCCAAAGTCAATGGCAGGGCAAAGTTTGCTTTACCCATTTTTCTGGAAGGCTCCACAGTGTCACATACCAAAGGGTTTATAAACTCCTATTATACGAATGAATTAAAAATTGAGAAGAATGTTCTAAAAGTTGGCTCCGATCTACATATTGTGGGGTCAGGCTCCAAATTCCTTAATAGGACACCCATAGCCCAAGAGTTAATAACAAGAATAAACAAATGGGACTTACTTAAATTGAAAAGTTTTTTTCTCAGCAAGAGAAACAATAAGAGAGGTAAATAGGGAGCCTACATCCTGGGAACAAATTTTTACCCCTCACACTTCAGATAGAGCCCTAACATACAGAGTATACAAAGAACTCAAAAAATTAAACAATAAGATAACAAATAACCCAATCAACAAATGGGCCAAGGACCTGAACAGACACTTCTCAGAGGAGGACATACAATCAATCAACAAGTACATGAAAAAATGCTCACCATCTCTAGCAGTCAGAGAAATGCAAATCAAAACCACCCTAAGATACCATCTCACTCCAGTAAGATTGTCAGCCATTATGAAGTCAAACAACAACAAGTGCTGGCGAGGATGTGGGGAAAAGGGTATACTTGTACATTGCTGGTGGGACTGCAAATTGGTGAGGCCAATATGGAAAGCAGTATGGAGATTCCTGGGAAAGCTGGGAATGGAACCACCATTTGACCCAGCTATCGCCCTTCTGGGACTATTCCCTGAGGATCTTAAAAGAGCATGCTACAGGGACACTGCCACATCAATGATCATAGCAGCACAATTCACAATAGCTAGACTGTGGAACCAACCTAGATGCTCTTCAATAGATGAATGGATAAAAAAAAATGTGGCATTTTTACACCATGGAGTATTACGCAGCACTAAAAAATGACAAAATCATGGAATTTGCAGGGAAATGGATGGCATTAGAGCAAATTATGCTAAGCAAAGCTAGCCAATCCTTAAAAAACAAATGCCAAATGTCTTCTTTGATATAAGGAGAGCAACTAAGAACAGAACAGGGAGGAAGAGCATGAGGAAAAGATTAACATTAAACAGAGACAAGTGGGGGGAGGGAAAGGGATAGAGAAGGGAAATCGTATGGAAAGGGAAGGAGGAGACCCTCAATGTTACACAAAATTACATATAAGAGGTTGTGAGGGGAAAGGGTGGGGGGAAACAAGGGAGAGAATTGAACAACAGCAGATGAGGTAGAGAGGGAAGATGGGAGGGGAGGGGAGGGGGGATAGTAGGGGATAGGAAAGGTAGCAGAATACAACAGTCATTAATATGGCATTATGTAAAAATGTGAATGTGTAACCAATGTGATTCTGCAATTTGTATTTGGGGTAAAAATGGGAGTTCATAACACACTTGAGTCAAATGTATGAAAGATGATATGTCATGAGCTTTGTAATGTTTTGAACAACCAATAAAATAAAAAAAAAAAGAAGAATATTCTAATAGTCTGCAGCTAATAAGGAATTTATGGTAAGCTGAAAGTGAGTTTTTCAAAATCAAGACGGTAAGCAGGAAAGGTAAGGTAAGCAGGAAGAGAAATTTTCAAATCATAGCATACTTTTTTTAAAAAATGAAAACATCATAGTAACTGAGAGGCCTTTTTTGGGAGATATGTTTTAATGAAATGTGAATATATTTATAAATAAGATTGATTTTTCATATTCCATTTTAATGCATAATGAGTCTTCATGCTTGATGGAATAATAAAATGGGGGTGGGGAACAGGAGGAGCCTTAAGGGACGTCTCACCCTATCTAGAGAGTCAGTAAAATACTTACAGGGGCCCAGCAGCAGGGGTGCCCTGTACTTCCGGAGGCTGCTTGGTCTCCGGGAGCCTCCCCAGCTGGCTCTCATACTAGTCACTTACATCCTACTTATTTTTGAGACATCCCTTGAAGTAAATGCTTTTGTTGTTCCATTATACAAATAAGGAAACTGAGTCTTAGGAAGATCAAGGCCAAAGTCACAAGGCCCAAGCAAGTCTGAGATTTAAACTTGAACCAAACACCTGTGTAATCAAGCACACTTCTGGATGTGTGCTTCCATGGATTCTGGACCTGCCTGTTCCTCCTGTTACTCATTCGTCCTAGATTTTCTTTGCATTTGGGTAGGTGAAGCATTCCTCTCCCAGTTTTGATCAGACTTTGAATCTACCTAACAGGTCCTTTCCTTTATTATCACAGCTATTATGAAAGGAAGCCTTAGGCATCCTGTGATTTGGCTTATGCTCTGAATTGGCTGAGTGTGAGTCACAGGAGCTTAGTTTGCTGGCTAATGGGTGGAGTTGTTGGGGGGCGGTTAGCATTCTGTCTTTCTCTGTTCCGTCATAGCCAGAATTAAACATGGGTGATACACAGAGGGGGAGGTGGTTTGGTTTGGTTTCCACATTAGTAAGATTTTTCTTTTCCCAAATCGAGTGTTTATACTTAATCTTTGTATCAGGCAGTCCACCATTAGGAAAAAAAAAAAAATGTCTGAGTAGTCAATTGGCCTAAATATCTGACATAAAATAAACAAAGAGGTAGTTTCATAGGGAAGGGTTATGGGAGCTAAAAGGTGGTTCATGGAAACAGGTTTTGTCAGAAAGCATAAGACAAAAACCTAACTGATGCGAAGCTGCTCGTGATTAGGTGGGGCACCTTGGCGGAGGCAGGAGGTAATGGCATTAGATCAGCCCTCCTCAAGGAAACACCTGGAGCTGGGCATGAAATATTGAAGCACAGGTATCATCATTTCAGTCTCCACACAGGTTGGCATTTTGCATTCAAAGAAATTCTGTCAAAATCAGAATTTGCCCAAGTGGCAGTCATCAATCTCCCCGGTGCTCTCCCCCTCTTCCTGGGCGCAGCTGCCCCGGTGAGTGGCACTCCAGAGGGAGGAGCCCCTCCCAGAGCCTGCACAGCTGTGCTGAGAGCGATCCTCCACCACTGTGAGAGCAATTGACAGGTTGACAAAACATGGACAAAAAACAATGCAGTAGCACTTGCAGGGTTGTTTGTGGTGTTGAAGACACCAACGACGAACACACAGAGGAAGATCACCAGAGGGGCGATTTTTGCCACGGCACAGAGAGTGGTTTCTCAGAATGCATCTCAAGGCTCTGTAAGAAAACAGCACATGAATGAAATGATGAACTGTAACACACCAAGTTCACACTTGGTGTATGAGGTGCACTTAATTATAGGCACCTTTTTTTTTTCTTTAAACATCACTAATAACTCTCTTCCAAAGACCAAAGGGTACTAGTGGTTTTAAGATGTCTCTTTATGGCAAACACTTGGAATAGATATAATAGTTTGAAGTGCTTAAAATGTGAAATATATCTGATTAGCTTGTCTTAATTATTACACTTTCAGGCATGATCTGCATACTGTATTTCTTTTGAGAATAATTCACATATTTGGTTTGGAAAATGGAAAGGAATTGGGGTTTTAGCACCATTGGGCCATAAAATAATCATCATCACAATCATATTTATGATTGCAAATAACAGTTAGGTCTTATTTTGTGCCAGTTAGCCATGCTCAATGTTTTTCTTGCAT